GTCTCAGGGAGCAGCTCCAAGGCAGAGGGCAGGAGCAGCACAAGGCAGTGGGGGGAGGGACAGCTGCAATTGTTAGCCTCCTGGGCAGCTGCTGCACAGGGAACTTAGGGGAACGGGGAGCTGATAGGGGGGTTGCCTGTCCACCCTGGTTCCAACCACCCACCAGCTAGCTCCACCGGGCTGCTCTTCCTGCAAGCAGTGGACAAAGCAGGCGGCTGCCAAACAACGTTAGAAGGGAGCTTTGCACAACTTTAAACGAGCATATTCCCTAACTGATCAGCAACGTAACAACAATAACCGGGACGACTTTAAGTGAGGAGATACTGTATATCCTCTCCCTCAGGCAGGTTTTGTGGGGAATATTAGTAATCCTTGCTTGCAGCCTCACTGTCCAGCTAAGAACATAAGAACGGCCACACTGGGTCAGACCAAAGCTCCATGTAGCCCAGTATCCTGTCTTCTGACAGTGGGCAATGCCAGGTGCTTCAGAGGGAGTGAACAGAACAAGTAATCATCAAGTGATCCATCCTCTGTCACCCATTCCCAGTTTCTGGCAAATAGAGGCTAGGGACACCACCCTTGTCCATCCGGGCTAATAGCCTTTGATGGACCTATCCTCCATGGACTTATCTAGTTCTTTTTTGAGTCCTGTTATAGTCTTGGCCTTCACAACATCCTCTGGCAAAGAGTCCCACAGATTGACTGTGTGTTATGTGAAAAAATACTTCCTTTTGTTTTAAAACTACTACCTATCAATTTCATTTGGTGACCCCTAGTTCGGTCTAGGTTGGACATTAGGAAAAAGTTCCTAACTGTCAGGGTGGTTAAACACTGGAACAAATTGCCTAGGGAGGTTGTGGAATCTCCGTCTCTGGAGATATTTAAGAGTAGGTTAGATAAATGTCTATCAGGGATGGTCTAGACAGTATTTGGTCCTGCCATGCGGGCAGGGGACTGGACTCGATGACCTCTCGAGGTCCCTTCCAGTCCTATAATCTATGAATCTTGCGTTACATGAAGAAGTAAATAACACTTCCTTATTTACTTTCTCCACATCAGTCATGATTTTATTGGAAGGTTGGAACATAACTCTAGTGAAATGCTGCTAATGACGCTCCTTTTGCAGGATAAATCCCGTATCTCAGTCATTCTATAAGACAGACCATATATTGTGCTAGCTAGCACAATATATAACACAGGGAGCAGATTTCTTATTCAGCTGAAATTAGTTATATTAATAAACTGGATTTTTTGATCATCTTTATATTGTGCATAAATTTTTTTTTTCACATTTTAAGTATTAAGGTAGTACAGGCAAAATTCCCATTGCAGACAGTTATTGCCTTCCTCAATGAGTGGCCAAGCAAGCACATAAACCAAACACCCATCTGAAATAGCCTCCCAGCTAACGTTCCTGAAAAGGTGCAGTTCAGAGCTGGCTCAGGCCATAGTTCACTTCCCTTCTAACTCTCCAGCTCAGCACTGATTAGCAATCAAACAGGAATCAGTAAGACTTATTCTCATAGTCCTAACAGGCATTGGCCAAACTACTCACATTGGGGTCCAGGCTTTCCTCATCAGCTCCATTGCCGTTCTCAGATCCCAGGGTCAAGGCAGATTTGCTCAGATGCTTCTCACTTTGCTCTTTTTGCTTTGCCTCTTTGTCAGCTACTTTTCTCTCGGCCTTCAAACGTCTCTTCAGCTCACTAGAAAAAGAGAGGAAAACAGACACAGAAGCCACTTTGAAACTTACAGAAAGAAACACTTGCCAGAGAGATTCTGTCCAAGGGTCACCTTATACTTAACTCTCTCTCATCTCCCCAAGAGGACATGCTGCCTTGCTCCACCTCATAGGAAGTGATAAGTACCCGAATTCTTTTCTGAGCTGCTCCAATCTCTCACCTTACAGTCAGCAGTATCCAGAGAAAGCAGTACTAGCTGGGCATTGTCTCATATAGAGGAAATGTGCTTGTTTTTTTCTGACCCTACACTGTTCACCTTTCACACCCCTAGAAACTTTACATAACAGACAGTCAAAATAAGGTAAAAGTCTTCAGTGAGAGAAGCACCAAGGATAATTACAGTACAGTTTGAAGAAACTAAAGTGTTTTCCCCCTGGGCACAACAGATATAGAGTCTCCAGTCTATAACAATCACCATGCATATCTGTAACCTACTTAGGCACCAAATGAAATTAATAGGCAGAAGGTTTAAAACAAATAAAAGGAAGTTCTTCTTCACACAGCGCAGTCAACTTGTGGAACTCCTTGCCTGAGGAGGTTGTGAAGGCTAGGACTATAACACGTTTAAAAGATAACTGGATAAATTCACGGTGGTTAATAGTTAATGGCTATTAGCCAGGACGGGTAACGAATGGTGTCCCTAGCCTCTGTCTGTCAGAGGATGGAGATGGATGGCAGGAGAGAGATCGCTTGATCATTGCCAGTTAGGTCCACT